TTGCTAAATCGGGAAACTTCCCAATTTAGAAAGTTCACTAAATTCCGCATGTCTCTCTTTCTCTACGTTTATTCCAATTCGCAATTCACAATTACGAATCTTGGATTCAATCATATCGACATCCAATTGTTCAAAGATTAACACATTAATCTATGCTTGTTGTTATCAAGGATCTATATTACACGAGAAGTGTGACCCTCAATGGTTCAGGTGTATCCTAGCCGTGGGCTCACAACTCTTTGTGATTCGAACAACACATTGTTCTTATACGAACTCCTCCCAAGAGTCCCGATTAGAGTAAAACTCATTTTACCTAATCCCCGATCAAGTCGGTGCCCAACGAATCAAGATTGGCGTCTAGCAACTACGCATCATGATTCCCTAGATACAAATGAAGTGCCTGCAAGAACCTTATGATATAGTTAGCGTACAATACGATCCTTTCGTAGCACATGTCCCGATTGAACTAGAGGCATTGGTTCACCGAGACCTCTTATAAAGTTCAATAACCGTGCAAACGTTCTAGGTATTATAAATCCATTCGTGTGCGACTTAGGGAAACACATTTCCCTAATCACCCCACTATCAACTCTGGCTAGAGATTCCATGGATTATAAACCGTCAGAACACACAGGACATCCATGACTACTCAAGCGCTCGAATCCCCTACTACAATGCACAGACTTCACACTAGATTTCGGATTGCACGAACGTTGGCCCTTGGAGTGGTCCGCGGTGGGACTCAGGGACAGGTCACGATACAATCGGTCCTCTAGTGAAGTCACGGTGATGTCTGGGTCTTAAGGACTAATGGTGTACAACTATATCTTAGAAACCTATTACTCGATGAATGAGAACCACTTATAGATTTCTAGGGCGAGGGAGTTCAGTGAACTCATCCAGTATGAGCACCCACTCAAGTATGCCGATGTCACAACACCGAGGACTGATGAGACGCAGTACACATACACTAAGTGCTAGTCTCAAAAGGGAAAGGCCGGTATCCTCATTATTGGCGTAACCCATCGACTAGGAACAAGGTTTAACAGTTACATTACATTGCTGAGTTATCTCACGATTCTACTAGATCAACTCACAGTAATAGAGTAACTCGTTAGGACTATATCTATGCTGCTTGCATGGGATAACAGATATAGAATGCCAAATAAGATATTTTATTATTACGAACGAAAAACGATTGTTTTATTACAAAGAATAGAGAAAGACCACAGCCACAAGTTGGCTTGCCGGTCACCTACTCTAACACCCCCCCGGAATTCTCCAACGGCAGCGCCCCTTTGTTCACCGGGCCCAGGCGGTGGGTGTTTTGATCCCATGGAAGATGAAGCCACAAAGCTTCAATTAATTTCGAATTTGTGAAAGTTTTAAATTAAGTTCAATTGAGTCCCTGGTACTTTTAGTTTCACCCTCTTATCATATTTTCAAGTAAAAAGACGAAAAAGCCCCTGCACTTTCGCATGTGCATCGCGCGTGCGCTGAAAAATTAGAAGATTCACCGGAATATTCCCCTTAAGTGGTTATGTGCATAAAAAAACTGAGTTTGGGTGTGCGTTTGCAACTTTTATTAGTTAAGGTGGCAAAGTGCAAAAGCAGCCAAAGTTCAGATGGCGAAATACTATTAACCCATATATATATAAACTCAATATAGTAAGGACTCTTTCATATTTCAACAATAACAAAGCTGTTTCTTGGTGCAATACGATAATTTTTTGGTTTCGGTTTCGGTTTCCAAGTCAAAACAACATCATCTTCAATAATCCCGTGAAATATTGAAGGGAAAATTACAAGGAGCCCGAAGATAAGGCCTAGTTACAAAAGAATCCTCCTCGTTTGTAGAATTATGTGCACCCCCTTGAAACTAACATGTTGCTAAAATCCCTAACATAATATAGTAATTGTCTAAAATACTCATGTGTTAGAATAATTAATGAAGGGTAACCCCTGAAGTATGTTAAAATAACTGTAAAGTTCATGTGGCATCGATAATTACAATCCTCCTAAAACATAGTTAGAAACTCTTATAGGATAATGCATTGGATATGCTATTTCAATAAAGTTTTAATGAACTATTAGTTTTAGGAAGTGGTGGAGACTACAAAAATCTGTGGGTGATTTAAGAAATGTTGGGGGAGCCATGCCACTACCTATCTCTATGTTGTCTCCACCACCAACTAAAAGTAATTGCCCGTTAGAATCCTATCGAAATAACGTATTCAATGCATTATCTCATTAGAATTTCTAACTATATTTCAGGGAGTGAGTGTAATTATCGATATCATAAGAACCTTAAAGTTATTTAAGCATACCTCACGGGTGTGTGTAATCTACCATTAAATGAGAGAAAATAAAGTTATAAATTCAATTTTCTGATTTTCTTACATTCAGCCACTCATGCAATGTAAAACCTTAAAAAAAAACCTTTTGACACAAAAATGACTGGTTAAGAGTAAACAAAAAGAAAAAGTCTAAAAAGAATGATAATTGTTTTAAAAATCTTACAATTAAACCCCTAAGAATATTTTAGTCATTACAAAATGAATATTTCATAGAATCTATTTGATTCATTTATTGTGAAAATACAAATATTGTAAGAAGACAGTCGTTAGTTGGCCGTCCTTGACATGTCATTTGCCAAAGAAAAATACTTGATTCCATGAGTCATGTTCTTGGGTAAATTTCATTTTTCCTCTTTGTACTTTGGCTCGATATCACTTTATCCCTTTATACTCTCAATTGCATCAATTTGTCCCCTGTACTTTGACTAGATATCACTTTACCCCATTTTAGTCTCAATTGCATCAATTTGCCTCTTGTACTTGAAAAATTGTCTCAACGTGGCCCTCGTCATTAGCTTTCAGACCTTTAACCGTAACACCATTTGATCTAAGTTTGAAAATTACAAAAAAGCCACCCTTTGGATCCCTTAATCTCGGCTGATATTGGAGCGCGACCTTCTACGACCTGGCAAAGCATTTGGAACGCCATCCCCTATCTTAAAATGGGAATTCGCGGGAGAATTAAAAATGGAATGGATACTTCAGTTTGGATGGATCCTTGACTCAAAGACGATGGAAGCTCCCGAATATTTACGAAACGACCAATATATTCGTCTTTTCGAACCTAGTAGCTGATATCATTAACTTAAACTCAAATACTTGGAATATGGAGACCATCACTGAATTTCTGGCCGATTGACATTTACCGTATATTGGTTGTCCCTGTAGGGTGTGTTTATGCGAATGATCGTCGAGTGTGGCACTTCTCCAATAATGGTAAGTTTTTGTTTGTCCCTGCTATCATAATACTCTTTTATGTCTATCTTCAACCGAGAACCAATGCAATGGATTAGTTGGATCGAGTAGCGGTGTCAACTCAAGCTTCCCCTGATCAAAATCCGAATCTTCTTGATGAGTTGGTGATCAATCTAAACAATATACAATGTATTACATATTGTATATTTCAATAAGTGGGGCTGGATTAATTTTTTTAACGCATTAAATCAAGACACTATTTATTTGTGATTTTTCTGAAACTTCCGAACTTTTTAATGAATTTATGAATATATCCTATTAAATTTCCGAAAATTATCCAATTTATGGTTGTTTTTTGAATTTCTGCAATCTCAGCTTTTCAAATTCTGGAATTCGAATAGATTTTTAAATTTAGAAAATTTTGGGAATAAGAATTGGAAGTGTTATTTGATTTTCAAAAGAAAAATGCAAGTTTTTAAAGGTTTGTTTCTGATTTGGTCCATCCAACGTTCAACATTAATCCCTTGTATATGTGTATTGTGTGTAATATGTACATGTATAGGTTTAGATAAATTCTTTACTACTATGGTTGGTAGCAGGGGTAAGCAAACAAACCGAAAAAAATAAACATAAAAACCGAAAAAAAATGAGCCATTTCAAGCAGTTCGGTATAGCAAACTGCATGTACAGGTTTTTATTTTTGCAAAAACCAATTTTTTGGGTTCATGTATGGTGCAAAGAGTGAATATTCCCTTGGAGTTCATGATTTTAATGTGGTTGATGAAAGTAAGAAACAAAATGGAGCATAATACATGATCAAAATTATGTTAATTGTCCTATAAGATTCAAGATTTTATATTTTCGTTGCATTTAGTTATTTTTGTGGAAGTAACTATAATTTGTGCTGATTTTTTTTTTTTTAACATGTATATATTTTAACATTCAATCTGGATTTCATTGGTTGTGCATTCGAACACCCTTAAATAAATTCCACCATACACTTTTAGTCCACCAATTTTATTAAGTGTTATTTATATTTTTTTTCCAATACTTAATTTCGAACACCCATAAATAAATTCAAGAATTTCTCGATCATTTTGTATACTTATTGATGTGTCTAATCATAATTAGGCCCATAAACCTAATTAAGATTAGGCCCAAATTGCCCTAAATTAATCTAATTGTGTGAAAACTCAATTAGATTACTTTTTACCTATAAAAGTAACAACACATTGTCCCACATCGGATTTTTACAAAAAGTCCTACCTATTCATCCACCTATAAATGTATGTGTCATTTCACATAGAAAGGTACACTCTAATTTGGCAATTAATAATTATTATTTGCTTATATTAATACATCTTCTGACTTGAGCGTCGGAGGATAATCGCCGGGCCAAACCCGGCGTGTCATCTAGTGTTTCAATTGTTTTGTAGGTTAACGAACGGAGCAATCCCTTCGACTACCTCGGACACGTGGCAGTGACTCACGGCATTCTCTATCTTTGTGGGCTCAAGGACACTTGGGTTGCCCAATTGGCATTTGAGCAGCATCATTTTGGCGCCGTCTGTGGGAATGTAGACTCGATCACGTGACACGGGAGGAGGTGGTCAAGGTAGCCTTAATCCGCCCCAACCAGGAGCCGGCGGTGGGATCCCGGATCCGCCTCGAAGAAAGAGGACGGCGGGAACAACCAACGCGGCGGGACCTTCAGTGCCGATCATCCAAATGACGACAGAAGAGTTGCAAGCAATGATGGACGAGACCGCGGCCAAGGCAGCGGCTTGGGCAGCGGCGGACGCAGTAGCTCAGTACATTAGCGCCCAAGGCCATAGTGATTTCGAAGAGCCGATTCTTTCAGAGAGCGACCCCTCGGAACCCGCTCACGTCCACGGGACCCCGCCCATCGTAGAACTCCACGACTCTGAGGAGAGGGTATCGCTTAGCGACCGAAGCATTTCTTCAGAACGGGCTCCCCGTAGGTATGCCCCGCCCCGGTCGCATCAGCATAGCTCAGCCTCGGACCAGGCTCCTCGAGGAGAGACGCGCGGTCGGTCACCACGGCCCCTTAAGCAACGGGCTCCTTCAAGGGAGAGAGCGGCGCGAGGCCGCCGAGAAAGAAGTGGATCCTCTCGGCCAAGTGTGACACGCCATGAGCCTCGAGGCGATAGGCATCGCGGACGATCCTTTCGCCGAGGCAACTCCCCACGAGACGAACATGGGAGTAGGTACACTCGGGCTGAAGAGACGAGAAGGCACCGCGAGAATGGTAACAAGCGTAATTCGAGAAGCCCGCGACAAGAAGCTTCAAGATCAACCGCTCGATTTGGAACGCTCCCCGCCCGAATAAGCCCTTTTATTCCGGCTATCATGGAGGAAGTTTTACCGCTCGGATTTAGGATCCCCAATCTGCCCCAATTCGATGGAACCGGAGATCCTCAAACTCACCTTAACAATTTCTTCGCTAAGATCGACCTTTACGGCCTCAGTGATGCCGCCTACTGCAAAATCTTCCAAACTACCTTAACTGATCAAGCACAAACTTGGTTCAACGGTCTGCCAGGAGGATCATTGGATGGCCTGGGCCAGTTATCGGAACGTTTCCTTAGCCAGTATTCCATCAACAAGCGATACGCCAAAACCGGATCATACCTCTTCAAAGTCAAACAACGCGAGGGAGAACCATTGAGAGACTATGTACAGCGGTTTGTCAAAGCGGTGCACGAGGTACCCAATGTTAACCACGACCTACTAGCCGATATACTGCAACATAACTTGAGGCACGTTCGCTTCCAAGAATCCATAGCCAGACGACCCCCACAAACTCTGGAGGAGCTTCTGAACCGAGCGGAGAAGTTCATCCGGATAGAAGAGGCCGTAGAGATGGGACTTCCCGTGAAAAGGAAGCGCGAAGAAGAGCGCCATGAGGCAAAAAGGAAAGAAGAAGGACGTTCGATCCACGCCCCTACCTACCCAAAGTTTACTCCCCTAAAAGCAAAACTCATGGAAGTATGGATGGTAGCGGAGCAGAAAGGTCTAGTCCAGCCCCCGAGACAGATGAAAGAAAATCCGAAAAGGCAAAAATCGGAAAAATACTGCGAGTACCATCGAGATCGGGGACACACTACCGACGAGTGCTTCCAACTAAAGCAAGAAATCGAGAGGCTAATTAAAAAAGGGCACCTGGGAGAATTCGTGGATGCGCCACGACACCAAAAATTCCAAAACAAACCCCGCTTCCAGCATAAAGGAGAACGTCCCAACCCTAGGAAAGATCGAGAGGATGACAATCTTCCAACTCAAGGAATAATTGCAGTTATTTCCGGAGGACCCTCGGGCGGTGACACTCCTAGCTCACGACGAGCATCAATTCGGGCAGCAAGAGGCTCGTATTCTACGACAGAACGTCCAGAGGGACATATTTACCACGTTCACCACCCAAACTCAGAGGTTACATTTAGCGACGACGATCTCAGAGGACCACGTGGTGAACACAACGACGCTTTAGTCATCTCTGCATCAATTTCTAATTATTTGGTGAAGAAGATTTTGGTGGACGGTGGTAGCTCGGCTGATATTATATATTACGACGCCTTCGAAAAACTAGGGATTGCCAATGCAAAACTCGCGCCTGTGAAAACACCCCTAGTAGGTTTTACGGGACACGCCGTCGAAGCTGTGGGAGAAATTTCCTTAGTCTTGTCCTTGGGATCATTCCCGTGCCGAGCTACAAACACGGTCAACTTCCTAGTCGTCAAAGCACCGTCGACTTATAACGTCATTTTGGGGCGGCCGAGTATGAACCTTTTCAGAGCAGTCCCGTCAACCTATCATATGAAGTTGAAGTTTCCTACGGCTAGCGGAGTCGGAGAAGCCGTAGGCGATCAACGCATAGCTCGAGAATACTATGCGAACACTTTGAAGGCACCTCAGGTTCGGAACACAAAGCAAGTGGGAGGAGGAGATGACACTCCCAATTATCTGAAGAGAAAATGGGTGATGGCTGTCAAAGACGACTTCATCACTCCCTCGACCAATCAAGATGCCGATAGCACAAGACTCGCAGCAGTAGAAGAACTGAAAAGTGTAGAGTTGATCCCGGGCAATCAAGATAAACTACTCCGAGTGGGAACCAACCTTGAGCCCGAAGCAGAAACAAGGCTCGTGGAGTTCCTTCGGAAAAACGGTGATGTTTTTGCATGGAGAGCGGAAGATCTCGAAGGAATTCCCCCATCTAAAATTGTTCATCGGCTTGACGTTGACCCGAAACTCAAGCCGGTAAAACAAAAGAAAAGGACTTTTGGCCCGGAACGTAATAAACACATCAAAGAGGAGGTCGACAAACTCCTTGCGGCTGGTCAAATACGTCCGGTTCAATATCCCGAATGGTTGTCAAATGTTGTCCTAGTGGCGAAATCAGGGGGAAAATGGCGCTTATGTGTGGATTTCACTAACCTGAACAAAGCTTGTCCTAAAGATCCTTTCCCTCTCCCAAGAATCGATCAGCTGGTGGATTCTACCTCAGGATGTGAGTTGTTAAGCTTTTTAGACGCATACCAAGGGTACAACCAGATCCAACTGGCCCCTGAGGACCAAGAGAAAGCGAGTTTCATTACCGACCAAGGCATTTATTGTTACAAGGTAATGCCATTCGGCCTAAAAAACGCAGGAGCAACCTATCAACGACTGGTGAACACCATGTTCGCTAATCTAATTGGGCGTAACATGGAAGTGTATATCGATGATATGTTAGTTAAAAGCGCTAAGGCCGAAAACCACTTGAAGGACCTCGAAGAGTGCTTCGCTATTCTCAGAGAATACAAAATGAAACTAAATCCTTCGAAATGCTCCTTCGGAGTGAAGGGCGGCAAATTCCTAGGCTATATGATCTCGCAACGAGGAATCGAAGCAAACCCGGCCAAGATTGATGCCCTGATCAACATGGCCCCACCTAAATCCATAAAAAATGTCCAACAATTAAACGGTTGTTTAGCGGCGCTGAATCGATTTATTTCCCGTTCAGCAGACAAAGGACTTCCTTTCTTTAGAGTGCTGCGGGAGGGGAAGAATTTCAAGTGGACGGAAGAGTGCCAAAAAGCATTCGAGGAACTGAAGCAATACCTAGCGTCACCTCCCCTCCTGACCAAACCAAGGGAAGGAGACGAACTTTTACTGTACTTAGCAACTACGTCAGAGGCGATCAGCGCAGTCTTAGTACTCGAAGGTGAAAGAGGGCATCAACCCATCTACTACGTCAGTCGCGCCCTACGGGGAGCCGAGCAGAGATATTCAAACATAGAGCGACTGGCCTTGGCATTAATCACGGCAGCGCGAAAATTGCGGCCCTATTTCCAATCACACCAGGTAGTGGTGTTGACAAATTTCCCCCTTAAACAGATCTTCCAAAGTCCTGAAACATCGGGGAGGATGGCCAAATGGGCGATCGAACTGAGTGAGTATGGGGTAGAGTTCCGGTCACGCCCGGCAATCAAAGCTCAAGTCCTTGCGGATTTTCTCGTCGAAATGACGTTTAACGAATCTACATGTTCTACACCGACGTGGACGGTTTATGTAGACGGTTCCTCTACCACGGGGGGTAGTGGAGCAGGAATTTGGATCACAAGTCCCGAAGGCGATGCTTTGGAGTACGCATTGAAGTTAGAATTTCCAGCTTCAAATAATGAAGCGGAATACGAAGCCCTTGTAGCTGGATTGAAGTTAGCTCAAGCAGCCGGAGCTAAGAAGTTGGTTACACACAGTGACTCCCAACTAGTAGTAAACCAAGTCTTAGGCACATACGAAGCCAAAGAAGAAAGTATGATTAAGTACCTCGAGTTGGTCAAACGCCTCATGGAAAGTTTCGAGAAGGTGGAAGTCAGGCAAATACCTAGAGCCGAAAATGCCATGGCAGACAAATTGGCTCGCTTAGCGAGTTCCATGTCAAAGCTCGACAGTCGCAAGATCACTTTTCTCTCTTCCGCCAAACCCGAGATAGAAACAGGCACACAAATCCTCTGTACTAGTAACACTCCGTGTTGGAAGGACGAGATAATAAAATATCTATCCACGTCAGAATTGCCTCAAGACGGAGCAGCGGCGAGGAAATTAAAAATAAAAGCCGCTCGATTCCTACTTATCGGGGAGGAGCTATACAAGAGAGGTTTTTCGGTACCTTACCTAAGATGTCTCGGACCGGACGAAGCAAGATATGTTCTCCGTGAAATTCATGAAGGCATTTGTGGGAACCACTTAGGAGGGCGAGCACTAGCCATCAAAGCGTTACGTCAAGGATACTTCTGGCCGACTATGCGTCAAGACGCTAGAGAATTAGTGGAGAAATGTAGAGCTTGCCAAATACACGCCAACATTACTCACGTACCTGGATCTCTTCTCCAACCAATTGACAGCCCAGTTCCTTTCGCACAATGGGGGATAGATCTGGTTGGGCCATTCCCACAAGCTAGTGGACAACGCAAATTCTTAATTGTAGCAGTTGACTATTTCACCAAGTGGGTGGAAGCGGAGCCCTTGGCTAAAATAGCCGAGGCCGACGTCATTCGGTTCCTATGGAAGAATGTGGTATGCCGATTTGGGATACCACGAGCCCTAATATCAGATAATGGAACTCAATTCTGCGGAAGCAAGGTCGCGGACTGGTGTGAAGGACTATCAATCAAGCAATTCTTCACTTCAGTAGGAAACCCGCAAGCTAACGGCCAAACCGAAGTTACAAACCGCACAATTCTGCAACACCTCAAAGCCAGATTAGGAGAAGCAAAGGGCGCCTGGGTTGAGGAACTCCCTAGCGTCTTATGGGCTTATCGTACAACTCCCCGAACCTCCACCGGTGAATCACCTTTCAATCTTGCTTATGGAATGGAAGCCGTCGTACCAGCTGAAATAGGGCAACCGTCATGGCGGATATCCAATTACTCAATCCAGCATAATGATCTGGCAATAAGGGCAAGTTTGGATCTTGTGGACGAGGTCAGAGAGGGCGCTACTATGCGAATGGAAGCTTACAAAGCTCGAATGGCGCGAGCCTATAACCAAAGAGTCAAACCAAGATCATTTCAGGTAGGAGACTTGGTACTCCGAAGAGTCGGGATTTCAAAGGCTGTCGGAAAGTTGGATCCAAAGTGGGAAGGACCCTACAAAGTTACTCAAGTGGTCAACGCCGGAGCTTACCGGCTTCAGCACATGGATGGCAATCAAGTTCCAAGGACTTGGAACATAGGGAATTTGAAGAAGTATTTCGCTTAGCACTTTAGGCGAACAATTTTTCTTTGTTTTTAATAAATCAGGAGCATATCGCTCGCTGTAACGCTTAAGCTAGGGAATAAGTCGGGAGCATACCGCTCGCCGCAACGCTTTTAAATTATGTAATAAGTTGGCAGCATATCGTTTGCCACGTGAAGCTAAATAAAACATTTTCGCTTGAGGCATACCGCCCACTCTAATCTGCGACCGTTTTCCTTTGTGTCGTGACAATTAATTTTTGTTTATTCTATTGAAATTCATTAGTATTTTTATTATGATTACTATGAAGTGCTTCAATCAAAGGGGTGACCACTCGACTCCCAAACAACAAAAAAAAAAAAAAAAAAAAAAAAAAACAAAAAGGTCCTTGCTAAAGGGGAAGATAACAAGGATCACAAGGGTCTGGCCAACTCGAACTTTGTTATCTCACTCCCCAAAGCACAAGTTGATAGAGAAATCAAATTCTCAACGACTCCGCAGCCCTAAATTAAGAAAAGAAGGCAAAAATGCGGAGCCCCTACATAAAAACTTAGGGGACTGATCATCCACTAAGTACCAAAAAAGCACGAAAATTGCGAAATGGGAATAAAACAAAAGTAAAATTCCATTCATGAAGCAAAAACGTGCGAATAAAAAAATAAAAAAAAAAACATAGAAAAGACTAAAGTCTTAGAAATACGTCGTAAAGGAAAATACTACTACTCTCAAGCGAGTAGAAACTGATAAACGACTACACTACTAGGCAGTCGGGTTAACGCTAGCATTCTCAGCTCCAGCAGACTCGGGCATCTCATCAAACTCATCGCCCTCAACCAGGGCGCCAATTTTCTCCGCCCCAATTTCTGGCTCAAGTTCCAAAACGCTCGGCTCTATCTCCCGTAGGATAGCCTCTGGGACAAGCTTTGTAGCACGAACTTGACTGCGGATATCCCGCACGATCTCCGCAAAAAACCCACTAGCATAACTATCCCGTAGCTCGATATAAGATTCGCTCCCTAAGAACTTGTCAACCACCATCAAACCCAAAGGCGTTTTCAAGACGTCATTCGACCCCTTATGGGCTTCCATGAAAGAAAGCGCGTCGGTCTTCTCATTCTTCAAAGATAGGCTCAGATCCTTAATCCTAGCTTCGGCCTTCAGACGTGCCGATTTTTCATCATCCGCACGTGTCACCAAGCTCTGACATTTCTTCTCCAAGGCACTCAGCTTGCCTTTTTCTTCATCCAGAGACTTCTTCAAACCTTCAATCTCTGCGCGAAGGGAGGCATTGACACCCTGAACACCCGCATACAACGAATTAACGTTCAACTTCTCTGCTTGCATCTTGGCATGCTCAGCCTCCAAGCCCCTCCCGCGATCAATAATCAAGGGCACGAAAGTCATAGTCTAAAAAATAAATAAATAAATAAAAGGGGCAGGAGTTATTATTATTAATAGTAATAATAAATCAAATATAGAGGTGCATGATAAATCCGATACTAACCCGAGCAAAGGAGGACGCCAACCCTTCGATCATCTCGTCTAGAGGTTTCCCGGCAAGACGAGTCGAATCAAACTCCGTCGGGAAACCCATTACCTTCTCCATGGCCAAGGCGCTATCAAGAACGTCAAACACCGAACCACCATTTTGCGTCCTATCAACACCAGCAACAAAATTCCCTTTCCATGCATTAACGGGCGGTAGAACCAACTCCTCAACTCCTAAGGTGCGAGGCCTTTTTTCACGCACGACGATAGGGGCGACACGAGTATCCCCGGACGCGGAGGGGGACTTGAGCTCGCTCAAAGGCAGCGGGGGCGCACTCACAATGGCAAGACGACCTTTGTCGGCGGATTTGGGATCCGAGACTCCAGCGCTCTTCTTCATAGCCACCTCCGGACCACGGGACGATCCCACCCCATGGACTGGCTTTTTCCCACTACTTCGATCCTCTGCAGTGCCTCTTCCTGACTCCCGTGCCACGGGCTTTGAGGCCGGAGGTGTGTTTCGAGATACAGGCTTCGAGGCACCATTGTTCATGCAACGACGTTTGAAATCATTATAGCTCATCGTCTCACCTGCAGAACACGAAAACAGCAAATACAAAAATATTAGTTTCAAGAAAAAAGAAAGAGGACGGAGCAATCAATACAGCACAACTCCTCTACCCTTAGAAAATAAAGTCAAAGGGTCGAAGAAATAATCGAAAAAACCCATTCCGATACAATCCATTTTGAGTCTCGAGTGTTCATTACTCCACTCAACGGGACGCACTTCACCCCATACAGAAGGAACTTCCCAATCATTCCGCACGTATAGGAACCACTCCTTCCAACTCCCCCATTTATTCTCATTTTTCTTCAAAAACTTGCATTTCGGCCGAGGATGAAAATGAAAATTAGGCGCTTTGTCCCTCAGCGGTTTCACAAGAAACATGGAGTGAAATAAATTCGCTGAAATTGGAAAACCCTCGGACTCAGCGCGATGACAAAACCCTTTGAAGTAAAGAAATGCGTTCGGCGTTAATTGACTGAGGCTCACCTTCACATCTCGACAAATTTGAACAAGAACCGGATGAGGTGGCAAAGTAAATCCAACCGAAAATGATGCAAGGAATACCGTAAAGTAGCCATCAGGAGGGGCATAACATCTCTCCCCCTTACACGGAACCGATATCTCAATAGCATGCTCGACACGTAGATAGTCCAGAATCTCGGGCAGTTGACCAACTCTAAAGGAAGAGTCGAAATTTAATTCGGCACATATTCCTGAATATTCCTCAGAAACACTACCGCCGGAAAAATCGGTTAATTCTTCTTCCTCATCGGTCAACACGCTCTCGTCCACCTCGAATTCACGTCTTCTCTTCGACCCACGAACCACGGAATTTTTTAGAGAAAAGTTCGTCCCAAACACATTAATCCGTCGAGACCACGCCCAAGTCTCAGGATCGCTACATTCTAACTCCACGGAACGAAACTCCGGGCCCACATCAGGGTTGGGAGCTGAAACACGGGGTTCGGCGGAAAAAACGGACTCCGAACGGCCCTGCACGCGCTCCACACGCGCCGGAAACGGCCCGGACGCGCCTCCACGCGCAGAACAGCTCCCAGCAGCTGTTCCCACGCGCCCCACGCGCCCCACGCGCCCCGGGTGGTCCCCGCCCACGCGCTCCACGCGCGACACGCGCTCCACGCGCCCGGCATTCCCAGGCCCCACTCCGTGTGACGTCACGCTGACGTCACACCGCACTCCCGCCCGAGTTACCCCGGTCATCCGAGTTGACTCGCCCGATTCCCCTGACCGAGTTGACTCACTCAACTGAGTCGACTCACCCGACCGAGTTGCCCAGCCCGACCGGTCCGACCCGCCTGCCCGAGTCGACTCACCCACCCGACTCGCTCGATCCGCCCGAGTTGACCCGCCCGACCGCCCGGCTGCACAGTTTTCCACGCTCGGTGACGTCACGCCACCCAGGGCTGACGTCACCCCCTCCTTTCTGACACGGAATTCAATGCCATAGCCGCCAGTACTGGAATTTTCCTCGAACAACGAACCATTACACTGTTTCGCACATAACTTCTCGCTCGCAACTCCGAATTTCACAAAATTGGTACTCCTGGACTCCAAATTTCGACCTCTTTCCACCCGGCTATCAAGATTTTTCGAATTCCCATCTTCAAAATTATCGGATTCCGAATGAACTCCACATAGTTCGTCGCTAGACTCGTCCAACAACCTTAGACCCGACATTAAATTCCTACGCCTATATCAAACGCAATTTCGAGGCTCCAAACGACAAAATACGGGTAAAACCAACGACACAAGGACTCGAATAAAAAAGTGAGGATTTGCAAAAATATTTATACCTTTGGAAGTTCGCCAATTATTTTTAAATCTCGCTAGCACAATTCTGGAAGAAGAAACCACAAGAATCCAAAATAAAAAACCCTACAAGGGCATGGATGGGCTTATATACTACTTCCAACTAGGCTCACAAGCCCATGACCCAACTTGGAAGTGGGGGGCTTAATGATGTGTCTAATCATAATTAGGCCCATAAACCTAATTAAGATTAGGCCCAAATTGCCCTAAATTAATCTAATTGTGTGAAAACTCAATTAGATTACTTTTTACCTATAAAAGTAACAACACATTGTCCCACATCGGATTTTTACAAAAAGTCCTACCTATTCATCCACCTATAAATGTATGTGTCATTTCACATAGAAAGGTACACTCTAATTTGGCAATTAATAATTATTATTTGCTTATATTAATACATCTTCTGACTTGAGCGTCGGAGGATAATCGCCGGGCCAAACCCGGCGTGTCATCTAGTGTTTCAATTGTTTTGTAGGTTAACGAACGGAGCAATCCCTTCGACTACCTCGGACACGTGGCAGTAACTCACGGCATTCTCTATCTTTGTGGGCTCAAGGACACTTGGGTTGCCCAATTGGCATTTGAGCAGCATCACTTATTTTTCAACTCTCTCTCTTTTTTTTTTTTTTTTTTTTGGTGGTTTGAGTAAATCATTGTTATTGTATTTTCATGTTCAAAATTAGGCCAATCCGAACCAAAGATTTTTGGTTATTCAAACTCAACTTTACTGGATTCTTATGTTTTAGTCTTTCACATATATGTTTGATTAATCTTATGTTTAATTTCAACATCTAAGTAAGGAGGTCGAGAAGAAAAAAAATGTTAACGGAACATCAGTGACGCAAAATCCAGTACGCAGTAGAATATGCGGTTTCAGTCATAGTGGATCCCAATTCTCAGCCCGACATACCTGGACAGGCGTGGGTCGAATTCCAACAGAGATTTTAGACGAACAACCACATATGATCGCTGCCCCGATTCCGGTCCCACATGACTGGAAGCCTGCGCATCCACTACTGCGGCATATGGTGGAGGCGCATTCAATTTCTCAATTGAGGGAGCAAATTGCATGATACGGTCCTCGACAACTTCCACGTCTGGTGTACTATCTGTTATCTTGGGAAAGCTCACCGCTACC